AATTAATTCTCCCTTCTGGAGCTCTGGAGAAAGGAGGACCTGGGGAGATTGGAAGCAAACTAAGAGGCCTTTTCTCCCATATATTTTTTTCTGTTTCCATGCCAGGGCTGTAAATTACTCGTGCTCACACTCTGAAGTTTCTCAATTTACCAACCCAAATTTTGTTTATGCTACCACCACTAGTATCTTCACGTTTGTGTAATACTTGCCAGTTAGCACATGGTTTCCTAGTCATGATCTTGCTTATCTTCTTTTTCTGCAAAGAAGCTGGACTTAAAGAGGGATTTCCTCGGGGGTCTCATGATGAATAAAAGGAGTAGAAGTGGGATGCAGAGGCTCGCTGGTCATCAGTTCTCTTTTCCTCTGCACTGGCTTGCATGTGACTTCAGAACCCTAGTCCTGATCTTTAAGGACTAGGACCCTGTAGGTCGGTTGTTTCCTTTTGTGTTATGCCTGTATGGTATCATTATGATTGGGAAGGTGGTATTATACTATTTTATTTTGTAGAAACTGAGGATAAGAGGTATGTTTTGATTTTGTGGCTATTTGTGACAACTCTTTAGTATTAAGGTCATTTTTTCAACCTAGACCTCCTTTCCTCTAGACTGCATGGAGAGAGGAAGGAGAAAAAATAATTAATTTTAGGAAAAAACAATCTATTTTTGTGTTGGTAAGGACACCCTAACACCATAATCACTTTCTCCTTGTGTGCCTGGCTACTTGTGTCAGCCTATATGTGAATGTTAACCCAGAAGATTCCTTTAGATGTCGCTGAACTCGTTCCTATAAAAAGTATTTCATTTTCAAACTCCTATGTTTCAAGAACTGAGGAATTCCATACAAATGGAATTTTGAGGTATGTATAGATGGAATTTATTGAGTCTTCTTTTCTGAATGCCAGACACAAAGATTTCCGTAGAAAGGCATTTTACAGGGGTTACCTAGAAACTTTGGGAAGGCAGTAATTACAGGTTTTTATTATTTATCCGAGTTTGGAGGTGTGCGTTCTGATGGATAAGTTCTTATATAGAAGTAGGACTTTTGCTTGTGAGAATGCTTAGTTTTAGTCTGTAGCAGAAATGATAAACCCAGAATATTTATGTAGAATTAGTTCATCATAACCAAAAGCTTGATTGCTTGCAGTTCTGCAGTGATGAGGAGAATGGTCTAGGTTCTTAGGTAAGTTATTAACTTGTTGGATTGTGGCTTTTTCAGATTTGCTAGTTTAGAAAATTGTTAGCAGTTTCATTTAAGGCTTTTATAAATTCTTTAGTGTGTGTTTTCCTTCACTTAATTATCTACTAACATTATGCTGTCAGAATTTACACATTAGTCATAATTAACCTTTGAAGCTTAAGTGTGGGTGAATTTTCAGTACTGTTTTATATTCTTTGGGAATGGTCAGCCAGTTGTTTCCACAAGAATTTTATTTGCACCGTAGGTGAGATACTTTCAGGTAGGACTGATTCTCAAGGGTCAGAAGCCTTTCTTTGAACTTTATAATTGTGCTTGGTTGCATTTACAGTTGTTTAAAATGATCTTTAGTAAGGATAGTCGCTTTAAAGAAATAAGTTTTTCATTGTTACCCTCATAATCCCTATTCCTGGCAGATTTTCTGGAATATTAGATTTTTCTTTGTCTTCATCAAGTAAAACAGGCCCATTTGATACCCATTTCAAGATCTTCCTTCTGCTGCCTGTCTTGTGGTCATTTAACTTCTCATTAAACCCTCTATTGGAGACTGTGCCAGAAGAGAGAGAAGATGAAAAGCAAATGAATCATTTTCTAAATGTTAGCAGCTCTGAAAAATGATTTAGTAGAAGAGATTGATGCTATCCCAGAAATTCTTTCAGGTTATGTTTTATTTCATTCATCTGTATTGTCTCTGAGATGTTCCTAATAGTCATCAGTTTAGAGGCTGATTATTCAGCTATTGGATGACCAGGAATCTAACTGCTTATTTTTTGGTTTGTTTCTTGCAGTATCTAAGCATTAAGCATCCCCACAGAGGATGTTTAGAAGTAAGGAGTAGGAATAAAATTTAAACTGATCAATACTGTTTTTTCCCCTTAGGGCTCTTTAGTGAACAGTTTGGTTTTTTAAGACAGTTTAGTCATTGTTATTGGAAATGACTAATAGTAACTTCATTTTAGTTTGAGTATTTGTATCTTATACACAAATGTAGGGAGGCTTTTGGGTGTTCTTAAAGAAACACGAACTTATATAGATTCCCATAATTGATTTCTTGAATTATTAAGCTTGGGTTTCATTACATCTTTGAATCGGAGCAGAACCTGGGCTTTTGCTGTGGAACAGACTCCAAGTCATCTAATTTTCTTTTTATGATTGTTTAAGAAGTTATCTTATTTTGGTTTAGCAGTAGAAAAGGGGGGAGAAAAGGATTAATAGTGGACAGACCTTGCATAACACCTGTAACTTTGATGATGTCTGTTTTTTTCCTTTGTCTTTGGTCTCCCAGTTCTCATTTAACCATTTGGATATTCATGGATTGGAGTTCTTTACTTGAGACAGAGGTGCTTGTGAGTAGGTGCTTGCTTTTTTGCCTCAGGGGAATTTTTACAAGCCCATTGTGACTGCTCACTTAGACTTAGTTACTATTAAATTTATTTATAAATAAAATCCACCTGCTAGGGAGTCTATAGTTAATCCTTTCAGTTTCTTGTTTCCTGGATTCTGTTCTTTCAATTTCCACCCAAAGAGGGGATTTATAGAAAGATCTAGACTAGTTGTCAGAAAATCCAAGATCTTTTTTTTTTTTTTGGTTAAAGATTTATTTATTTATTCATGAGAGACACAGAGAAGGAGAGGCAGACACACAGGCAAAAGGAGTAGCAGGCTCCATGCAAGAAGCCTGATGTGGACCCTATCTCTGATCCCTGGACCCCAGGATCACGCCCTGAGCCAAAGGCAGATGCCCAACCACTGAGCCACCCAGGCATCCCAGAAAATCCAAGTTCTTAATCCGTTACTTTCCAAACTGTGGGAACTTGAGCAGGTCATTTAATCTGCTTTTTTTCTATTTTGCATCTCTGAAATGGGGTGGTAATTCATGCACTGATTATTGTATCAGGAATGTTGTGGGAGAAAATTTATTTAAATTTTAGAATATCTTTTTATTTAAATTTTGGAATCCCTTCTCTCAGGTTGTCCAGATATTCCTGCAGAGTTCTCCTGAGTGAGCTCTTCCTGAAGTCGCCCACTTGGAAGTGTTCTTGTTTTATCTTCCTGAAGGCCTCTGCTAGTCCATCCATTATGTAGCACTTTTCTGTACAGTTGTTGCATGTTGTTTTTCTTCACAGATAGAAAGCTCCATGAAGGCAAAGATTGTTTTCTTATTTTTGTGTCTCTACATTGCACATCGTCCACCCACCCCGTTGACCTTTAATAAATGTTGGTTGAATTATTTTTGAGGCTGTCAGGAATGAATACTTTGGGTGATGGGAAGATACCAAAGATGAACCTATTTCCAGAACTTTCGAATGACTGGCCTTTTAAATTGCTCAGTTACTGATCTTTCTGTTGTATCAGTAACTGAATTAGATGTTCGTAATATAAATTGGTAAAGCCTGTTTTCTTGATTCTGTTTACTTCAAATACTATGAAGCAAGTCAGAGGAATGAAAGGTTGTCACAACCCCCCTGAATTTGACATTTGTTCTATTTCTCACCCTATAGCATGTGGAGGTCTATCTATATCCAGCTGCTGAGTATGGAGAATTAAACCTGACGGCACGTTGTCTGGTCCACATTTTAGCTTGTTTTCTTTGAAGAATGTGCAAGGTGGAAAAATAGACGCTTCAGGCTCTGATTTCAGCCCATGCTGTGCTATGCAAATGTTCTCTACATGCCTGAGTGACCTTTTTGAGAAAGAGCCTTTGTGATCTTCTGTAGCCAGGGCCTGTTCTGGGAATAGTGTGCCAGATTTCTCTAAAAGTGGGAAAAGTGAATTTGTTCAAAGACCATATAAAAAGCCAGTGCTTTTCCTGGGTAAATACCGATAAGTTCACGTTTCTTACTGTCTCTTGCCAGAGCTTTTGAAATTTGCTCTGCAGTTTGCTTTGCTGGTTGATTTGGAGAATGAAGTGTGTGAGAGGGGACTGACTAAAGCAATTCTGTAGCTGGGAAAGTGTTTAAGTGCTTTTGAATTGTAGATAAAAATAAATTCAAACTGGCATCATTAGTATCTGGGTGTTTATCAATGTCTTCAGGCTGGCTCTCCATAAATGCCGGCTGAATGACTGGCAACCAGATTTCTAAGGTTCTTTTTGTCCCAAATTGTGCTCTAATGATTTGGCATTTAAATTGTTTTCTATTTGTTTTGATTATTGTACAAAATGAAATCTATCGTTATTAAAAGCATAATTAGTGTTTTTTAATGTTATAAAAGAAATACCATTCTGATGTATTTCTCTTGGAAAGTGTACTGGTGTCTTGGGAGGTTTATGACTTTTAATGCTTTTACTGAGATGTTTGGTTGTGTAGCTGAAATGGATGAAAAAGAGTTCTCTTTCTCCCTTTCCTTAAATCACCTTTTTGATAAGGATCATTGTAGGTTTGCACCAGGATAAGCTTGTACAGTTAACCGTAATGTTCTCCTGTAGAAATTCTAAAAATTGAATTCCCAGAGAGGGTAGGTAGAATTTTTTTTTTACAGATTTATTTATTTGTTCATGAGAGAGAGAGGCAGAGACACAGGCAGAGGGAGAAAGGATAGGTAGAAATTGAATGACTGATGTACTTACTGGGCTCCTTCTCCTTCCCTAAGCATGGGATAATTTTTTTCTCTAAAGATCGTCAATCTCTTAGGCATGCGTAGACAGTCTTAGAGGAATGCTATCCTCTCCAAGTCTTTGCCCTGTAGCCAGTTTTGGTTGAGTGAAGATGAGTAGTTACCCGATGCTTGGCCTGCTCTTTTGGGTGGAAGAATCATTCTGTTTTTGTAGTTACATGCTCTGTCATATGTCTTTTTCTCCCCCCAAGTTTCCCTGGAACCTGGGCTCCCCAAGACGCAGCGCTGGAGCAGATGGATAATGGAGACTGGGGCTATATGGTGAGATGCTTTTGCAGATGCATTTTGAAGGCTGGCCAATAATTTTTGTGTCTTTCCCCCTTCTTCTGTATTCTTAGGTATAATGCATCTTAAAAGAATGAAAGTTATAAATTAGTATAACACCCTCTCCCCTCTTAATGAGTTTATTTTTGGGGTGTTTTTGTTTAGTTTGGTCTTTTTATGTAAACAAAGTCAATATGAGCTCTCTAAGTGACTTTTTATAATCACTTACTTGAGAGAGATCATAATAATTTAAAGGTCTTCAAAGTATGTCACTCTTAAAACCCTACATAGAGTAGTAACTGTTAAAATGGTCTAGTAGGTAATGGTACAGAGGATTTTTTTTTGTGTTAGGAAAGTTGAAGTTTGAGAAGTTGCCACTTCTCCCACTTGTACTTTTTTTTTTTTTCCCACTTGTACTTTTTTTGAATGTGCTGGTCTTCCTATTTTACTTATCCTTTTTTTTTTTTTTCTTATCCTTTAATGAAAGAAATATTTCACTTGTCTAGTACCTGGAGTCCATCTGTCTTTATTTTTATTTTTTTCTTAAATATAATTTCTAAAAGGGAAGGTACGTATTATGTAGAGAAGCTAGCTTTTCTTTCTTTTTTTTTTTAGAAGCTAGCTTTTCAAAATTAAAAGCCAGATTGCAACATTAATGTTACAAAAGTGAATACAGTATCAGATTATAAAATTTGAAAGCTGCTGTTAGCCTTTGGGTATATAAGATTGAGTTGACTAGTATATTGTTATGTTAGTATTTGGCACTGTATTTTCCATGGAGAAATTATAAAGAGTAGGTCTGCACTAATTTTTATTTTTAAAATAAATTTTATGATTTGTTCCCCTTTTTTGAGTGGGAAAAATGAAAGAAGTATTGAAAGTAGATATATTTAAATTATCAAATCATTTTTATTCTCTTTTGTGTTAAATTGAATTAAGAAAAAGGAAATTCTCTTTTTTTTTTAATCAGAAAAAAACTTATATGGGTATATTTTAGCTTGGCTTTTCTCTTCCCATAGTATACTCTGACCTAAAAACTTCTCTATAGGTATTGGACCTGAAATTAAATGGCTTTGGAAGTCATGCTCTTCTTTTTTAGTGTAAGGTTTTAATGAATTAGATTTACCCTTTTCCCATTGAAAGAAAGTATTAGATCCCTTTATCTGGGTAGGTTTATCATTGATAGTAAAGCTATTTTGTATTATAGGGCTGCTAAATACATTATAGCCTGAAGGAATCTTTTGCTTGTTACTATTAATTTTTTTAATTTGTCAAAGTTAGGAATTAAGAGATTTCAGATGACTGATCATTTTTTAAAAATTTCAGATGACTGACCCAGTCACGTTAAATGTAGGTGGACACTTGTATACAACGTCTCTGACCACACTGACGCGTTACCCGGATTCCATGCTTGGCGCTATGTTTGGGGGGGACTTCCCCACAGCTCGAGACCCTCAAGGCAATTACTTCATTGATCGAGATGGACCTCTTTTCCGATATGTTCTCAACTTCTTAAGAACTTCAGAATTGACCTTACCTTTGGATTTTAAGGAATTTGATCTGCTTCGGAAAGAAGCAGATTTTTATCAGATTGAGCCCTTGATTCAGTGTCTCAATGACCCTAAGCCGTTGTATCCTATGGATACTTTTGAAGAGGTTGTGGAATTATCTAGCACTCGGAAGCTTTCTAAGTACTCCAATCCAGTAGCTGTCATCATAACCCAATTAACCATCACCACCAAGGTCCATTCCTTACTAGAAGGTATCTCAAACTATTTCACGAAGTGGAATAAGCATATGATGGACACCAGAGATTGCCAGGTTTCCTTTACTTTTGGACCCTGTGATTATCACCAGGAAGTTTCTCTCCGGGTCCACCTGATGGAATACATTACGAAACAAGGTTTCACGATCCGCAACACTCGAGTGCATCACATGAGTGAGCGGGCCAACGAGAACACAGTGGAGCACAACTGGACTTTCTGTAGGCTGGCCCGGAAGACCGATGACTGATCTCTAAGCCTGGGAGAAGTTCCTGGAAACTCACTCTCCAGGACATGGAAGAGACGTTTTTTTTTTTTTTTAAATCACAGTGTGGGATTTTTTTTTTTTTTAATATTTGTATTTATTTGAAGGCATTGAGGACCAGAAGGAAGTTTTGTGCGTTAGCAGACTCCTCTATGTTTTGTTCCTTTTACCTTGAGTATGCATGTGCCTGTTTGGAGCCTCCAGATACCTTTTTTATAAAAAGAAGTATGAAAATCATTATGGTATATAATCTACTCTTAACAGAGCTTTTTTTATTACAGTGCTACAATGATTTCTGATTAAATGGTCCCTAACTCAACTAGAAGGCTAAAAATGCAGGAATGAAAGAATAAACAGAGTATTCATGATGCCTTTGAGAAAAATCAAAACATCATGTAGGGTGACCTAGTTTCCAAACCAATAAGAAGTATTGTAATATTAAAGGAAAACTGTTCCAATCATTTAAAAGTACTTGTTAAGTACTGCTTTTTACAGTTATGACAACTGTTTCTTTCTATGCATATAAATCAAGCAACCAAATATCTGTAGCCATGGAAATGTCTGACTAGAAATATTTATATTGGATTCTGAATACAAAATGTCCCTGTGGTAGAACTCTTACTTCTTATGCCTGGTGCAGTATAATTCCCAAGTGTACTGTCTACCAGAAGAAAAAAAAAACTAATAAAAAATGAAATATGAAAATTAGGTTTGTATTTGTTGATTATTATTACTTATGGGGGGGACATCATATTTCTTGCCTAAAGTATGTATTGTTTGGTTTATGTCCCAGTATATCCTGCTTATAACACCTTTGTATTTGACTCCAGAGGACTCAGTAGAACCTGAGGAGGCAGTTTATAGAATCTGCCGTGTTACTGGAGCAGGAATGGATGGAATTAATCATCTTGTCTAAAAGAGTGCATATTCAAACAGGGAATCAAACACTTTGATAATTTTTTTTTTTCAAATAGGACTTACGTTGAAGATTTTTCTTCAGGAAGCCACTAATTGTCAGCACTGAATATGACCCTTTTGCTAGCTTTGCACTGAGCACAGGGACAAGCTGGCTCTTTACTTTTTTCTCACAATATTATGGTGGCCCACAAATATATTTTATTATTATAGTTAAGTCTGTTTCTGAGGAGAAAAACTAAAACTGCAGTGAGTGAAGGCTCTGGAACAGTTGGAGATACATATGTACTTTATTTTACTGTGGTCTTTATTTTGAATAGTTGCTTTGATTCTCTTTCTTGGAAGTTATAGGAAGGATTATGTTAGCTATAGTGAGACTTCCTAGTTGCTGGAATACTTTATAAAGTAAGTCATGTAATTTCTTCCCTGTTTTCTAAGGGAAGAGTGGAGTTTTGAGGCTGTGTGCCCTTTCCTTTTCTACATGAGAGAATTCTGAAATTCTGTCTCTGAAAGGAGGATGAGAACACTTACCTATATCCATTTTTGCCCATGTCTCTCTGAAAATTTAAGATTTGACAAATGACCAATATCTAGAAACCTGTAATTACCCTGTTTTTACCATCTTCAACTAAACCATCTTCAGCCGTCTTCAAACTAAAATCCTATCATACTATTGGCAGGTTGCTGTGGTTTCATTAAATGGTGCTGGTGTGAGGTTATCTTTTTAGAAAATTGTCTAATACTTCAAATTGATTAGAGATTACCCCCCTCCTCCAAAAAAACATCCAGCCACTTATGTGTTGTTGAATTGGCAGAGATAGAAGCAAGACAGAAAAAAAAAAAAAGAAGCAAGACAGGATGATTTGGGTTGAAAACTGATGTGGAAATGGAAATAATATTAGTTCTAAGGTTTTAAAAATTAAAATCTTATGGGGTCTCTTCCTTGCCCAGTTTACTGGAGAAAAGTTTGTTTTGGTCAATTTTCTTAGGTTTATTAATTATTAACTAAGGGGCTCCTGGGTGGCTCAGTCAGTTGTTACGTGTCCAGCTCTTAATCTCAGGTCTTAATCTCAGGGTGGAGGGTTGCAACCCTGCATTGGGCTTCATGCTGGGTGTGGAGCTTACTTAAAAAAAAAGAAAGAGAAGAAAAAAAGAAAAAATTAACTAAATGATTATTTTTATAAGTAAATTAGGAAAAGTAGCCAGCTGAGATTTTTTTGCAACTTAATCTGGTGGCATTTAGTTTTGAGTGTTTACTTGTGCAATATGAAAAATGTAGTTTGATTATATTTGGGTAATTTGAGACAATTATGTCTTTTTAAGAAAATTTTAAATCATTTTCCCTGCAAAATAATTGATTTTCAAAAATTGATACTTAGTGGTATTCTCAGAGCTCTACATTTTATTTAGATTACTCCAAGAACAGGCACTTTTGGAGGAGGATTGTGTGTGCACATGTGTATATCCCTTTAAATCTTGGATAAATGTGATAACTAATGAATCTCTTGACTTTTAGATCTAAAGCAAAACTGTGGTATTTAATAAAATAGATGCTACAAATGGATAGCACTACTTTATTTATTATGGGAAATTTTAAACATAATCAGAAGTAGAGTAGTGCAAATACCCACGAACCCCTTGAATGACCCCATCTTCAGCTATTCACTCTCCCTTTTTCCTTCCATAGATTTTCTTGAAGTAAATCACAGATGTTTCATCCATCCATTCAGATAATGACCCTCTTTAAAAAATATATACTTTAGGCGGTGCCTGGTTGGCTGAATTGGTAGAGCATGTGATTCTTGATCTTGGAGTTGTGAGTTCAAGTCCTACATTGGGTATAAAACTTACTTTATTATTATTTTTTTAAGATAATAGGGCTATTATTATCCCCTGATGAGTCAGGAGCCCGCCATGGAGCTTGATCCCAGGATCCAGAGCCAAAGGCAAACCCTTAACCATCTGAGCCACCCAGGCCGCCCTCAGAGCAAGTGAGCTTGCTTGCTTGCTTCCTTCCTTCCTTTCGATTTTATTTATTTATTTGAGAGACAGTGAGATAGCATAGAAAGCATGAACAGGGGAGGGGTATAGGGAAGAGGGAGAAACAGGTTCTCCACTGAGCAGGGAGCCTCCTGATGCAAGGCTCCATTCCAGGACCCCAGATTAGGACCTGAACCAAAAACAAAAGCAGATGCTTAATTGACTGAGTCACCCAGGCGCCCCTAGAGCTTACTTTAAAAACAACAACTATGTATATGTGTGTGTGTGTGTGTGTGTGTATATATATACTTTATATATAAAGTATATATGAAGTATACTTTAAAGTTGAATGCTATATATGCCATAGTTCATAGTCCCATGGTGGCGCCTCTTGAATGCTCTTCATTATTTCACAGCTTGGATCTCCAACTTTGTAATAGTGGTTTTATGTATTTCTCATAGGCAGGGTTCCCCTGTTTGTAGAAAAAAAGTACATTGTTAAGACAATATTTCTGCCAGGATTAATGACTTTTATCTCCATATTAAGTTTTTAGTTTGAAAGAAGTAACATTACATAAGATTCTTAATTTTAAAAATTAGTTTTTTTATATCTGTTTTGTGTGAACATATGGAGAAACATTTTTTCCAAAGGGCATCCTTCCTTTTCTCATGCAGATTTTAAATTGTGGATGCAGGTGGCCAATTAAGAAACAGCTTATCATTTGCTTTTGGAATTTAATACAAATAAAATGCTTGACTTTTTGAAGTTCTTTGAAGTTGAACATTAACCCCAAAGCAAGGACCCAGAAGATGAATTGGATAATTAAGGTTCTATGTAACAGTAGGTTATTTCCCCTTGTTCACTAATATATGTCTTAATTCTTTGCTTCACAGTTCTAGCCTCATCTTTTATATTTATTTGTTTGCCTGTCTAGGCTAAAACTTTGAGCTCCTCATTAAAGACAGGGTCTGTGACTTCTGTTCTCCCTTATAGCCTTAGTACTTAGAACAGTTTCTGGTGTAGAGCATATGCTCAATAAATATTCATTGAGTGAATGAATGAATGAATGAATCAGTAGGTGTGTTTCATGTATCTAGCAACTACTTGGACAAATTTTTACAGTAGAATAATTGGGGGAAATAGGATTCTTGTTTTGAAATTGTCCCCAGTGGTTCCTGCACTGCTTGCATCTATAGGGAATCACTTAAATATGAATTCATGTGGGGAGCAGGAACAGCATTTTGCAATTCACTTTGGAGAATCTGGCTGGAAATAGCATCCAGCTCAGGAAAAAAGCCAAAAAACAAACACACCATGGCTAGAGTAAACTATGAGAGAGCGCATCATCCTGTCTAGGGATAAAGCTCAACACTCAGCCTGCCCCAGACAGAAGATAGACTGTCTTAGGATTCTAAGATGTTTAACTTAGCGTAGCACTTTTCTTTTGGTAGAAAATGTCAGTGAAATATATTCCCCTTTGTAATTTTGTGTCTCCAAGGTATGTTTTAACATAGCTATTGTTTTAATTTATTTGAAACACCTTCATTGTGCCTTTTTCTACTGGTGCAAATGAGGAAAAATGTCTTTTACTTCAAAAGACATTTGAAGTAAAATGTCTTTAGCTTCAAAATTATCTAGAGATTAGAAATATATACCTTAAAAGTGCTATTTTGGTAGACTCTCAAGGAGCCAGTAGTGTAAGATTATGTGGCTATATATTAATAGTCAACCGACTGTCATTTTAACTAACTGGCAACAGTTCTCTAAGGCCATTGATAATCTCACATTCCCAAATTGCTGTGCATGGAAGAGTCACATTGCTCTACTTGTCACCTTTTTAGCAAGGTAATGTAAGCCAAGATGGTCAGAGTCTGCAACACTGTGTATGCAGGAGGTTCTTCATTTCACTGTGGGTCATAAAACTATGTTCATTTATTCCATAAATGCAAAGTGTCTACTCCGAGACAGATCCTAGAGTTAGGAAGAAAAAGACTCTATCCTTGTTCACAGTCAGGTAGCCGGAGATAGGCAAAACAGAAAAGTGAATGGGAAAAAAAAGAAAGAAAGAAAAGAAAGAAAGAAAAGAAGAAAGAAAGAAAGAAAGAAAGAAAGAAAGAAAGAAAGAAAGAAAGAAAAAGAAAAAGAAAAGAAAGAGAAAAGTGAATGAGATGATGAGCATCAACATTTTACCAAATCTGTTGATGCTCTGGACCAGTCATGCTCCTCAATTTACATAAGCTTGCCCTCATATAGTATGCAGATTAAATGCTTTTAAAATAAAGATTAGAAACAAAGTAAAAAAAATGCACTATGTTCTTTAGTGAAGATGAGGAATCAGAACTGGCATATTTCCTTGTATTGCTAGTTGAGCAGGTTTGAGCTAGATATGTTAGCATTTGCTGGCAGGGTCGGTTTTTCTCATGAGCAGCAAAGGGCACAGATTTATCCTTAGACCATAGGAGCTAATCTGGAGTAGGAGGACTGCTGTTGTTTCATGCCAGGATTTAAATATTAGAAAGTAGGGGGAATCTAATAGAAAAAGTAACACACCAGAAGTAGCTTAACTGTATTAAGCAGTAAATGTATCATACTTTCTTCAGGTAATTCTTTATATTTTCTTATCAAGTTAAAAGGATGCCTTCCTGGAGACGGGAAATGACCAAAATGGATTGGCCTTCTATCTGACAAGCATCTTGGAGGTGACCAGTTATATTATAATTTTAGATAATCGTGTTAAATTACGCTGTGAGGTGTGACAGGATGCAAAATGTGAAGAGCAAGTCTAACACCATGCTAAGTGTGAATGAAAGCCTAAGAGTTGCCAATTTTATGAGGTGTTAAGACACTTTTCTGAAATTTGACCTAGGGGGTAAAAAAGTAAGCTTCGTTATCTGAATAACATTTGCACTACAGAGCTTAAAATAATCTGTTGCATATCTATAGATTATCTTTGTTTTGATCATCTGTATCAAATCTGCTATTAAATATTGGTTACCAAATTCTAAATATAGGGTTTATTTCTTTACTCCAGTTATTGTAGTCATTGACATTCATAACTTTTCCCGTTGAGGCTTACGGCACAGTCTGGGACGCTGACCCTAAATCATTAGGATTTTATGAGTCCTCCCTTCTGTCAATGACGTAGAGTTCTGGTATTCTCTCTTAGGGACAGCTGGGGATCTTTTTGCCATAACCCTTGTAATAGATATTTATATGGCTTTCTTGGGCTGCTGATGGCCCTGCAACAGCCTTCTTTGTTCCTGGGATTGTGTTCCTTAGAGTGAAGAGGAAGGAGGCATCTCCAGCACAGAGAGTCTGATCTGAGGGTGATCCCCCACCCGAAGCTTCCTATCACCTCTGAATACCCATTTTTATCAACACAAAACTGAGAGGTAAAAGGCTGAAAACATGATGGTTCAATCACTGCAATGATTTATCTTCTTTGTTACTTAAAAGCTCGTTTGGCACTATGTGTGTATGCCCTTGGGTATGTCAAGCCATGATTTAGAGCTTGGACCTTCCTCTTAATTCCCTTTACCAAATTCTGAGCCGTGTCGTTTGCTGATTACAGTCTATACTCAGAGTTCCAATCCAGGCCACTCCTGGATTTTTTTCATGTATTCTCAAAATCTTTTTAACAGGCATGCTATGCCAAGTAATTTCCAACCTAATGGGGAATCAATTAAAATGAGAAAACATGGAGGTTGTATTCATGCTTGTTCTCTGCTCTCTTACATAATTCATAATGAGTTCTACTCAACTACCTGAGTATTGGTCGGTGACCTCTGAGCCCAGTGGAACAGACGTTCATAGACATTTCCATCATAACAGCCAAGTGCTGAATTTAAACAGTGATCCATGAAGTCGAAAGCATCAGTTAACAAGATGGCATCCTTCCTGCGAGAGAAAACAAGAGTTTGTGAGTATTTTAGATTGCTTTTATGAATCTGTTTAATCAGGGATGGTGAATAACAACACCTAATTAAGAGGTCACAACAACTCAGCTCGGTTGTTTTGAACAACTCAGCTTTAATTTTCTAAAAGTTTTAATTTTTGATCTGTTAGATATACAAGTAGAAGGAGTCCAGTAATCTTCAAGGCTTATTATTTAAAATCAGCACATCCTTGTCTCATCTGTGCTTCCCCCACCTCGGGCAATCAGTTTCAGTATTTTAGCTGGTATTTTGGTATTTACCTGAATGCCTCTAAATATTTTGTGTGGATTGCTACTTCTTGGTTGTTCAGTTTTAGGTATTATCTGTCAACTCTCCATTACAAAAAGATAAGGATGTGTTTTTAGTTCCCTCTTGTCACCCTTGTATCATCCTGCCTCACCTCTGCTGCTTCTTGGTGTTCCTGCTCCCAGTATAGTTATAATTCTGGTCAGACTTCTATTTGGTGCTTGCATTATTATGACTATATGTGTGTCTATTACTGGACTTCACATATCTTGCTCACGGTTGAGCAGTGTCCCTACCACATCTCTCCCATTAGAGTGATCTACCTCCTGGTCTGCTGTTTCTCACTGTAACTTTTGTCATCATCCGTAGCAATTTCAATACCTACATGAATGTTCCTCTAAAATGCGGCTTCTTGGTTCTTGGATCTTCTCTACTGACCTTGTTCTAGGGCTCCCTCTGTCACTTTCCACCAAGATGCCATCCCAGGACTCAGTTCTCCATATCTGCACCTTCTCCATGATGTGGGGCGTGTTCCTTTCACTGGCTCCTGCCCTTTTGGCTTACCCCCTCTAGAGTTCTGACTCTGATAATCTTTTTCTTTTCTTTTTCAAGCAACAAAATGTGTTTTCTTTTAGCCTATTGAATGAAATATTTAAAAAAAAATTGTTCACAGGATGCCTGAGTGGCTTAGTGGTTGAGAGTCTGCCTTTGACTCAGGTCGTAATCCTGGGGTCCTGGGATCCAGTCCCATATCAGGCTCTCCTCCCTCTGCCTATGTCTCTGCCTCTCTTTCTGTGTCTCTCATGAATAAATAAATAAAATCTTAAATAAAATAAAAATTGTTCACATGTTTCTTTAACTTTTTTTAGCAAGGGTATAAAACATAACATTGCAATTTTTTTTATACTCTTCCCTAGCCCTCCTTTTACAAAGCAGTTGAGGTGACTGGGATACTGTAGCTTCCTATTTTAATCTTTTCTGGGTGACCCTTCATCATCACTGTGAGAGGATTTCCATTTAGGGCTGGTTATACTTCTTTGACCCTACCAGTACCTACCACTTAACTTAATGTCCCTCATCCTCCTGGTGGCCTCCCTTCCTTCCTTGTTCAGCTGAAATTCTATGGTCTGTTATATTCACTCCCTCAGAAATATATTCAGCAGTTTTTCACCAACTCTGTCACCACCTTTGTAGCCATATGTGGCTGGGAAGTCAGTACTGACTGGTGTAATGGGAGTTCAGGTGGGCCCTTATCTGCTGGCTAGCAGTCATAAGACATTGCTCTCATTCCTTTACTCTTTCATTGCCTTAGATGATTATCTCACATCTCTCTTACTTACATGACTTTTTGTCCAATTTCACTGGTAAAATAGAAGTGGTAAGAGCACATCCACAAGTTCCCACCACTTTATTTATACATGCTTTCTCTGTTTTTGGTATAGGTACACTGTCCAGGCTCCCAGCTCATGCCAGCCCCTCCTCATCCCTTAGATGCCTTCTCCTCTTGCCTATTAGAGAACAACATACTAGAAATTTTCTTGCCTTTCCATTACAATGTCAAAATCCCCTTCTCTACTGGATCATTTTCATATACAAACATGCTGTCCTATCTCCCGTCCTTAAAACAAGATTTTGAGTCTGTTTTCCTCTCCATCATCTACTCCATATCTTGGCTCCCCTTTATGATAAAGCTCCTTAAAAGTGTTGTGCTTGTTTATGCTTTGGTATTTCTTCTTTCCACCTGTTCTGCTAAACTAGATCCATTCAGGTTTTCACTTCCACTCCACTGAAATAGCTCTTGTCAAGGCTATTTCCTCTCATCAACCTTGGAGGGTCCCAAGACACAGTACTCAGGCCTCTTCTCTTCATATAGTCACTCCATATGATATCCTTCTCATGGCTTTAAATACCAGTCATATGCTAATGACTTCCAAATTTATCTCTCCAGTCTCACTTACCTGCTTATTAACATCTTACTTGATTTCTAACAGGCTCTTCAAACTTAACATGTTCAAAGCCAAACTCCACATCTTCTGCACCTTTTCCTATGCATCCTGCCCAAACCTGGCATATTTATAGGAAATGGCAACTCTGTCCTGGCCAAAAACTCAAGCTCCTCTCTGTCACTTACACCCCACACCTGTGATCTGTCAGCAAATCCTGTTCTACCTTCAAAATATATCCATATTTCAGCTACTTTCCATCACCTCCAGTATTTTCATCCAGTCTAACCTGATATCATCTTTCACTTGGATTATTGAGGTAGCCTCCTAGTTGGGTTCCCTGCTTTTTATTCATCTCCTTCCCCAGTCAGTTCTTATTAATATGGCAGCTGGAGTGATCCTTTAGAAAAATATATCAGATGAGTGAAATGCTGAAAACCTTCCCACTCTCACACAAACTAAAAGCCAAATTTTTAAGTCTTTCCAATGATCTCTACCTGTCTTCACCCCTGGCCCCAGCACACCCTTAACTCTCTGACCACTGCTCTCATTCACCTCAGTCATGCCACTCCAGCCTCTGTGGCCTCTTCTCTGTTCTCTGGGGAGACGTGCCAAGCATGCTCTGGCCTCCAACATTTGTACTTCTCTGCCTGGAATGTTCCTTTCCCAGCCAACCCCTGGCTCCTCTCATGTCCCCACCCCTTGAGATCTTTCCTCAGATACCACCCTCCCTGGGAGGCCTTCTCTGACTTATTTAAAACTACAGTCAGTGGAGGGTACAACTCTTGATCTTGGGCTTGTGAGTTTGGGCCCTGCATTCAGTGTAGAGATTACTTAAAAGTAAAATCTTTAAAAAATCAAAATGAAGGGACGCCTTGGTGGCTCAGTGGTTGAGCATCTGCCTTTGACTCAGGGTATGATCCCGGGGTCCGGAATCAAGTCCTGCATTGGGCTCCCTGTGAGGAGCCTGCTTCTCCCTCTGCCCATGTCTCTACCTATCTCTGTATGTCTCTTATGAATAAATGAAATCTTAAAAAAAAAATCAAATGAAATAAAACTATAGCCTGTCTCCCCAACCCCCCCCCCGGACCCCCACATTCCTAATCCTCTTCCCTGCTTTCCTTTTCTTCATAGCATGTATTTACCATGTCACACACTGTATGTTTGACTTTTCTGTGTGTGTTTGTCTCCTCTAGTCTTTAAGTATTTGTGGCCTTTTCGGTCTGAAACTCATGTTCTTCATTAGCCTCCTGCTTTTTGAATTATTTTATCAATGGTTTGTTCCTTTCTATTTTTTCTATCTGCTCTTTCTAGACCTGTTTTTCAGATGATGGGCAGTTAGGATCAGTTTTCTTGCTATTTTTATCTTTTCTGATAATTTTTATCTTTATGCTTTCTTTTCTGTGAGATTTTATGCAACTTTCTCTTCCAGTCTTTCCACTGAGCTTTTCATTTCCACTATCATTTTTGTTTCATAGGGCTCTCTCTCTCTCTTTTTTTTTTTCTGAATATTACTTTTTAAGAAATGACATTCTTGTTTTGTGGTTTTGTGTATCTCCTCTTAACTCTTTGAGGGCATTACTGGTCTTTTTAAAAAGATTCCTTCTCCTGGAAGATTCTCTTGTGCCCTCGAAGTTGTTTCCTTCTTGCTTATTTGGTCTCTGTTTTAAGTCGGGGGCTTCCCTTGGGTGTCTAGTGATCCCCGAGTCTCCGATCATAGCTAAGAGTGGGGCATTACTTAGCTGATTAGAAGTCCAAGTGTGCTTGTCAATATGTGGGATTCAGTATGGGGTGAGTTAGAGGGCTATGGTGTCAGTATCTTCAGTTTTGTCTCCTTTGGGCTGGTCATGTTCTTCAGAGAAGGAGCATACTATCATCTTCCTGTAGCATACTAGCCTGGCTGCCAGTTTTCTGGGAGCCAGGGAAAAGAGGGCTGAGGGAGGGGGCTTAGGTTAGCACCTGGCCTATAAACATTTATTCAGACCCCTGATTTCTGTAGGGTAGCCTCACTGTCAACTATGCCTGATATTCCCTGGCCCACAGACCCTCTGTATACTCTTCTGCCAGGGTGGAGTCAAGGAGAATCTCAAAATTACTTTCAGAGGAGGAGGGGACCTGGGGGTTCAGCTCCTTCTGTTTCAGATGGAGCTGAACCCCCGTGGGTCTCAACTTTATCCCTGTCAGAGGTGCACAGTGCTGCTACTTCTTGGGGTTCTTTGGTATAACTTGTTTCCCACTTCTGGTTTATGATCCAGTTTTCTCTGGTCTACTACTGTTCATCTGCTTTCATATTTTCATGTTTCCTCCCCTGTTCTTTTTCTTTTTGTGGGTGTGTAGCTTTTTAAAATTTTTAATCCATGCTGTTTCAGGAGAGAACAAAAGTAAATACATATGTTCAATCTGTCATCTACACCTGTATGTCCTTCACCTGAGATTTTATGACCCCTTAACTATAAACTGGGTCAGTTAGTTAACATTACACAGAGAGCTGGTTCTTAGTGTCACATGGAATAGTGTGCCATCCTTCATTTGTTATCTCAGAAATTAGAGGGTGATACTAAGTAACCAAGGCAAGGAATTCTGACACAGAACTGTTACAAACATGGAGTCTGTTACATACCTAACTACCTCACAGTAATAAGGTTACTTAGGAAACATAAGGTGAGTAAATCAGTTTGTGGGTTAGATGGATACCTAAAACCTCACATAACAAATTTAATATTCCAGTTAATTTAATAAAACAATTACAGCAATGCATAAGTTGCCTATTTGTGCCAGTGCTCTTGGTCTTGTCTTAACTTGTAAGTCTCTGGTGCCAAGGCAAGTGCTTAGAAATGCTGTTGCAGATGTTAAAAAATCATGCTTATGAGGTGCTAGGGGTTATCTTTTGTGTTTAATCATCTCTGTCAGGCTAGAACCTTATTGTTTTCATGTGCTTTATTATTTTTTTTTTAAAGATTTTATTTATTTATTCATGAGAGACACACAGAGAGAGGCAGAGACATAGGTAGGGGTAGAAGTAGGCTCCCTGCAAGGAGCCCAGTGCAGGACTTGATCCAAAACCCTGGGATCACACACTGAGCTGAAGACACACTCAACCACTAAATCACCCGGGCATCCCTGTTTTCATGTGCTTTAAAATGCAGAGCATTTCAGGGGTGCCTGGTGGTTCCATTGGTTAAGTGCTCAACTCTTGATTTTGGCTCAGGTCATGATCTCAGGGTCCTGGGATGGAGCCCTGCATTGGCCTCCGTGCTCAGTGGAGAGTCTGCTTGAGATTCTTTCTCTCCCTCTTCCTCAGTTCCTCCTCCTGCTCATGAGCTCTCTCTCTCTCTCAAGTAAATAAATAAATGTTTAAAATGCCAAGCACTTCAGAATTAGACTTGGGTTTGAACTGTGCAATACTCAGCTCTGCTATTAATGGTTCCCACCACTGTATTCTCTATATAAGGGAAAGTTTAATACCTGAGGCATACTTGCATGAAATGTATTTTTGACAGTTTTTGATAATTTAAACATTTGCTGATTGCCAAATATCTGTTAGGTGCTGATAAGGAGTCATAAGTGGTAATGTTGCATATTGTTAGAAATAAACATAATTTTTTTTTAGAAATAAACATAATTTGATCTACTTTTTAAAAAACTTTGTCACAAGTAGCTAATTTTTAAAATTTCAAATCTTTTGCCTTTTTTATTATCTTAGTGTTCTAGATAATGTGAACTATTAGATGTTCTAGCAGAAAAGTCACACACAGACACACACACACACACACAAACACATACACAGTGTCACACCACCCCATATGAAGGAGTCATCCTGTTTTCTCAGAAAAGGTTAAATCCTTAAGGTAGCCCATTTTATCTTATGGACAATGGTGACTGACCTGTTTTGTTTTAAGTTGTTTCTTCCAGTACGCTGTTCAGGCTGGGGCTTTGGTTTCGATGTTTTTAAAGTGATCATTTAGATTATATATATAACGTAACAGAATGAAAGCATTGCATTAGTATGTCATGACCCTAAACTGTACTGCATTATGTTGCATTTAAGAACTATTTGTATTATTGCTTTATGAATAAGTGTGTGAATTACTGAGTTTAAAAGAAAATTTCATCTTGAAGCTGAGAAACTAAGTTTAGTCAATTTAGTAAGACTTTGCCTAAGCACATTCAACAAAGACAAGGATACATTTGAAATAAACAATCCCCCCACCTTAACTTTAATACAGTGTAGAAGCCTATGCTCTGGGGTCCAATAGGTCCCAGATTGCACCCAGCTCCTCCCCTGGCTAACTGAGAGACCTTGGGCAACTTCCTTACTCCCTTTAGCCTAAATTTCCTCCCCAGTAAAATGGGGCAATTAATAGTACTCATTTCAAAAAGCTAGAAGGATTAAATGAGATGATGTATGTGAAAGCTTTTGGCACAATGCCTGGCACACATAAGTGTTCCTTAAATAATTAGTTATGATTGAGACTCATTATTAGTACATATTATGAATACAGTAGTATACTTCATTTAGATACTATTCCTATTTCCTTTATAATGTTGAAGAGTATTCAATTGAGATGATTTGTTTTTAGGTATTTTTATTTCTAATTTTTTTTTCTTTTTTTTCTTTCATGAATCCATAATGCTTTATGTTGATGTAATCATGCTAGAGTATAAACCTCTCCAGGGTGGTTGCTACTTTTGCCAGACCTCATGCAGCAAGATTATGGAGCTGCAGTTTCAGAGTTTGAAGTAAACAAAGGACCTAGGGCTAGTCTCTGAAGATTACCATGCTCTGAGGGCCAGCCACTTACCGGATGAGGAGGAGCAGGTTCAGGTAGGCTGTTCTCACCGCATCTATTTGGGTCCCAGATAGGAAGCCGTCATGGAGAAAGTCACCCGAGTTTGTCAGGATACTGTGTAAAGCATAGAGATCACAGAGGCGTTTGAGCACCTGCTGAATTGCTGGTTCGTTTTCTAGTTTGTCCAGAGTTTTTGTAAAATTCTTCACACTGATATAGTAGCAATGTGCCTGAAAGACACAAAGATACGTTAGTTTCTGATTTCTGACTCCAGAAGTCCTCCTGGAAGCAGGGCAGGACTGCTGGAATAAGCTCACTGCGGCCATGTGTTTCCCAGGAGGCTGATCAGTGCCACCTTTTCTCTCAGCAACCTGTGGGTCTGACTGAGCCTTTTTGACAGCATACCTGTGTGCGTGTGTGTGTGTGTGTGTGTGTGTGTGCATGTGTGCATGCACGCATGTATACACATACTCTTGATGGGGGCTTGTGGGCTCTGGGACTTGGCCCTGAGCTTCCTCATTTTGTTGGGGGGAAATTTCAAGGAGGTTTGAAAGTAGAAAGAATACAGGGGTATTGGAGGCTGGCATGGTGATGGTGGAGGACAGCACCACTTAAGAAAACAGCTATTTATTGTTTGCCATGTTCAGTGCCATGGTGTGTGCTTGTGTGTGTCTTGGGGTGAGAAATTAGAGGTTCAGTATGGACACAGAATTTTTCCCAGCTACTGAGGGTAAACTCTGCAAGGTAAGCAGGGCAGTTATTTGGCACATATCCAACAATCTGGCTTTGTCACTGGTTAAAACAAAACTTTCGGGCACCTAGCTGGCTCAGTCAGTGGAGCAAAGGACTCTCAATCTCGAGGTTATGAATTCAAGTCCCACATTGGGCAAAGAGCTTACTTAAAATAAAATTATAAAACTTTTGGTACCACCTGGTAAGTGACCACTGCCCTCAACCCGGTAAGACCCCCCTGTCAGCCAGGATCCTTTCCTGGGACCGCCCCCCTCCTTACAGCTCTGCAAATAAAGGATGAATGCCTGACCCAGCAGGAGGCTTTCAGGCCTCTGCCTCCATTAGGCCTGAAGTCCTTTCTGTTTGGCCTGTGCCCCTGCCCTACTGGTTGTTGAATATTTTGAATACTCCCTTCTCCCCAAGACAAATGCACTTATTGTTATCAGGTAAGGTATATGAATTCCATGGGAGGAAGGAGGAAAGAAGAGCATATAAAAACTCTTCTCAAAGGTTTATGTGCATAAAGATTAGCTGGGCATCTTGTGAAAATGCAGGTTTCCAGATAGCTTCCGAGTAATGTCTTAAGTAGCAAGGCTTAGACTGTCTTGAGGGTTCGAGAAGTTTCAGCAGGGGGTTATTGCATGTACATGGGGCTGTACTTGCGGGAGGCTGCATCACTGGGGCAGAATGAGGTGATGACAGAACTGTGTAAGTTAGGGTGGGTGGGCACCGCGACCCAGGCCCCTGAAGGGCTGTGATTGACGTGGTTGGTGAGGTGGGGAATAAAGGCAAAAGAAATGTAGATAAAATGAACTTTCCTTATAACTTACAACCCACTGACAAGTACTTGAGACTGAATATGACATTCCTCCTGGAACTCCTGTCTTAATATTAACGCCTTGCTAGAGGAAAAAACAGCCTTAGCTTGACAGTTAGCCAGGCCTCCAGGATCCCGTAAATATTCCTTCCTTAACATGTGAAAATCCTTTTGGAAACTTCGTTGGCCTCTACCCCTCCCAATTTCAGTGTATGTGATCAATTGCTCCTTACAATCCCAGGACAGCTCTTTCTATCCACTGGTCCTGTCCCCATGCTTTAATAAAACTACCTTCTTTTGCACAGAAAATGGCTCAATTTTTTCTTGACTGTTCCTGAAGTTCACATCAGTTGGGATTTCATTCTCTGGGGGTCCAAAGGCCACCAGAGTCTTCAACAGGGAAGTGACCCCATCAGGTTTCTCAGTTGGAAAGGATCTGCCTTTCCCATGGAGGCCTCACATGGGTGCTGACAACACTGCTTTGCCACCTGGACCTAGTGTGCTCGCAGCCACACTGGGTTTGCAACATTTGGATATAGAAGAGGAACGAACAGATGTGCCCTGTTGCCTCCGCTGAGTCAGACAGCCCTTGGTGCTCAAACTGGACAGACCCTGCTTCCCTTTTCTAATCTGAGGGCCACATCCTTAAATTCTCAGGGCCTTGGGGTTGTGGAATGGGGTGATAAAGAGCTGCCTGAGGGCCCCGGCCTCTGTGGCCTCTGGTGACAATTGAGTCAAACTTTGGCACCATGCTTTGAACACAATGCACTTTGCTTCCTTTCGTGCGTGTGTTGGTTTAAATCTTGCCTCCTGCCTAATTTGGATATAAGGGGTGGGATGTGTAGCATTTATATGCTAGGTGCATCTGTAAGTTTTACATGTATTAACTCATTTAATCTTCATAATAATCTTAGAAGGTAGGTACTATTATTTGCTCCATTTTGCAGATGAGGAGACCGAGGCATTGACAGATTAAATTCCTTGCCCAAGGTCACATGGCTAGTAGGTGGTAGCAACGAAAAATTGTCCATATCCTTGTTAAGTGTCTGTCTTCACCACTGCCTTGCCTTGCCAAAGCCACCAGAGACTGAGGCTGGATTATAATGGGTACCAGCATTTTCTCTAGTGGTCCTAGGAACCAACCTCTCTCCTGGGCAGGGCCTCAGGTTACACAGCCAGAGCTTATCAGAGCCTAAAGGTCCTTCTCATGCCCCTTTGTTTTATGGACCAGAAAGTTACAGCCCAGGGAAGGAAGGACACTGGATGTCACATAGAGAGGCAGGTCATGCAGAGAGCAGGAAACATAACTTGGGCCACCACTCTGCATTGTTCTCCACTCCCCTTGTGTTGTTGTCACTCTCTACTTGCATATTTATGGTTTCTAGGTGGGACATGGTGAGTGGTTAAGGTTTCTGTAGAGTATATGTTTTTTCCAAAGCATGAAACTCAGAAACTGCAGATTTCTCTGCCCATTATGACTTTGGAGAGTCAGCTTGGGCACCATCTCTCCAGGAAGCCACTCTTCTTCAGCTTACAATGCCTGGGGGAGAAGGGACTTGCTCTTCTCCTCTAGGCTGGCTGAACTACCCACCCTCGACGCCCCTAGGACTTGGAGAATCACCTCTCTCCCTCATACACAGTGGCTGAGGTCATAGCTTGCATCTGTGAGGGAAAGGAAAGCATCTTAACCATTTTCTACCTCTGGGACTTAATTCCTTTGAGTTCTATTCCCTCATCCTTAAAATGGAGGTTATGCTACTTTCCACTCCCAGGGTGGTATATATTAACTGAGGTAACCCTGGCATGCAGTGCCTGGTCCATTGGAAGGCAGGGCAGAGGTTTGGAAAATGGATGCCTAATGGGCAGCTGTGGTTCCTTTTGTTGTAGTCTGGTGAGAACACAGCCTTGGCTTACCCTCCTCTGGGTTGATAGGACATTTATTACAGCAGGGAGTCCCCCTGCGATGGACACAGCCCTGTGGATGGTGGCAGAGTTAAGACCAGTACCAGCTGATGTGTGGTAGAGACGGCGGGTCACCAGGTGGCGCTCATGCCCAGCCTGCACCACGAGGGCTGCTACAGACACTCCTTCAGGCTTTCCTGCCATTTCCTGGGCCTGATGCCTGAGGGTCAAAGTGTTCACCTTGCTTTACAGTTCCAGCTGTAGGTAGGGCCAGAGTCCCAGCTCCCTAAGTGAGAGCTCAGGAGTTAACCTCTTTCCCACCCCATTACTCTTTGAAAGCAGTCGCTTTCTTCTACCCCCTTAATATGTCTGTGTCCACCCACGTTTATCCCTGCTGTCTGCCAAGTTCTTGGACCACCCTCACTCAGCCCTTCTTGCCCAGACAGCTGCTGCCTGTTCCTAGTTGGCCTCCAGCCTCTAGTCCATTGCTCCCCAGGCAGCCTGTATGGTTCCTCTACAGTGAAACTCTGATCACCTCATTCCCCAGGTACAAAGTTTGCAAAGGCTTCCCACTGCAATGAAAACAAACCAAACAGTTCACAGCGATGCAGAAGGTCCCAGGCCTTGCCCATCTTTCCCCCTCCCTTACCTGCCTTCCTTTTCTGGGTTCAGTCTTCCTCCTTTAAGTCCTCCTTGGGAGGATTTGCATTTTCTCAAGCACCATGTCTTTGCTTGCCTCGCTTCCTTTTTCACCTGCTGTTCCCTTTGCCAGGAAACCTCCATTTCCCAAACCATAGCTTCTACCCGTTGCCTGGCTAATTTCAGCTCACTCTTGACGTCTTGGCTTGGATGCCACTTCTGGGAAGACTTTCTGATCCTCATGCCAGGTAGCGATGCACCTCCCTGGGATCCCGTAGCCTGTTTCCCCATCCCAGTGCTGCCTTGATTGTACTGTCTGTGGGCACCATCGAGCCCCCAGTACCCGGCCCAATGCTTGGTGTTGAGTGGGTGCTCAAATATTTGCTGACTGAATGTGAATTATGCAGAAACGCAAAACATAGTAGAAATTGAATCAGACATCTAAGGATTGCCTGTGGGGCTAAAGGGAGACTTGACCTGCTTTTCTATCTGGGAGGAAATATTTGAACAACCTCAAGCAAATCCAATAACACTGCCTCATTACATTTTTCCCTAAGAGCTGTCAGCAAGATTGCTTTGGAGTTAAGTCCTTTAATTAAAATACCCTGGACGAAAGCCTTGGAAGTGAAATGAGGGCAGCCACTGAGCAGGGCTGGGAATAATGGCAGAGCTCAGATTTTCTCAGCATGGTGGCCTGTGGGGGAAACAAAACAGGTCCCTTCCAGCTGGAGCTTCAGCTGGTGGGCAGCTCACCTTAGCAGCCTGGAGGTGTAGGACAGTGCTCTGGTTCCAGGCCTCATCCCAGTCAGCTCCAGATTGCATCAGAGTCTGTAAGTGATGCGCTGAGTCCTTTATGAGCCTGAAGCCCAAAGAAAAAAAAGGTTCAACTTCCTGACTGAGTGGGAAAGAGACTGATGGAGTCTGGTCTCAGGCTGCCTGGGGAGCCTCCCAAGTAGAAATACAGTAACTCCTGTTTATTGACAGTTGGTTTGTGTTGCAAAGCTAAATGTTTGCTCTACATTATCTCTTTAACCCTTCTAAGGGTAGGCATTCCCAGTTTACAGAGGGGAAAACAGTCCCAGATTGGTTCACTAGCTGGTCACTAGTAAGGGTAAAGCCGTATTAACCTCTGAGCTGTAAAGCCTGAGGGCTCTAGGCCAGGCACTGAACCCCTTCCTAATGCAGACACCATCCTGATGCCAGTGTTTTCAGGCCACTCTGTTGACCGACTTCTGTGGCTGAGCAAGGACAATGGTTTTCCTATAAAGGCTAGTGAAGCCAGTCAGTCACCCAGCCTGCAGGTTCTACCTAAGGGACCTTAAAAGGCTAGAAAAGAAAAGAAAACCAAACAAACTCTTGTCCTCCAAACCACTAAATTGGTCATTTGCCATTTACTTAACCTGTATTCTCTTACTTTTTTACTCCGGCCCATCCATCCACTCATAACCCATGAAATTGCTATGCAAAACAAACTGTTTATTAAGCAATACTTATTTTTTTCTTATCAGGAGTTAGATAAGCAGATGTTACATTGAGATACAAGCAAAAATCAATATAATGGCATTTTACTTACCCTGAGCAGCCTTATTTGGCACGCCCCACCTCCCTCCAACTAAAATGTTAGTTCCAGGGACACCTGAGTGGCTCAGTGGTTGAGCGTCTGCCTTCTGCTCAGGGCACGATCCTGGAGTCCCAGGATGGAGTCCCACATCAGGCTCCCTGCATGGAGCCTGCATCTCCCTCTGCCTGTGTCTCTGCCTCTCTCTATGTATCTCTGTGTGTGTCTCTCACGAATAAATAAATAAAATATTTTTAAAAAAACAAAATGTTCCATGAGGCCTGGGCTCTTTATGACTTGTTTACCGATAGATCCACAGTGCCTAGAACAGTGCCTGGTGCACTGTGGACACAGTACTTGTGAAATAAATACATGAATGTCCAAAGTTGTTTGTGATCTTGAAATAATTATTAACCAGTCCTTAGACCACAGGTTGGGCTATAAGACCTCTTATTATATACTGAAAATATTTCTTCTGGGTTGTTTTGGTGCTTTAGTTGAGGGTGGAGGTGGTTTTAGAAAGTTTATTTCTTAGGTCCTTCAGTCTCTCTATCTTTCCTGTGATGGTGTCTCTGTTTGGTCAGGACTTCTTTTTATTTGCAGCCCCTTGGCACATTTGAACATGTCTGACACCTCCTGCCGGTATTTGTTGAATGACAGAGTGAATGAGTCCTTGGTCTTGTCTGTGTTCCCTGGAGCTCACTAGACCCTGGAAATAAACTAATCCTACCCCTGGATGTAGTCATCTTTTTAAAAATTATTTTTAGTTTGTGGGATATTTTAAATACAGTATTGGTATTTACATTATTTGTCGATATTTACATAGATACATTTATACAAGTGGGCATATTCATTGCATTGCAAATTACAGTAGGAACCTAAAGATGTAAAAAAGTTCCTTGTACTGGCCAGAGTGGTGATGTCCTTCTACTAGTTTGACCAGGATGGGGAAGTGATGGGGGCTGATGGATGTGACTTCCCCTTCTCTGCCCATGGTGGCAGGAACTGAGAGCACTGAGGTTGGGGAAGAGGGTGCCTTTTAGAGGAGTACTCACAAATGCTCACCCAGCCCATCCCAAAGGCCCCAGCATGGGAAGTAGCCTGCCCCCAGGTGGAATGGCCAGTTTCTTGCTCACCTGGCTGCTACGTGTGCCCAGGCCGCGGTGTAGAGTTTTGTGTGGAGGAAGTCAGCTGCTTTCTGGGCTGGGCACCTGGCCTGGTAAGGTGTAGTCAGGTATGCAATGGACTTGGGGAGAAATATCTGCGATGTGGAGCCTGGGGACCCATGAGCTTGCAAGTAGTTTTTCACCAGAAACCTGGGGATGGGGATAGAAGCAGGTAAGCAGTGGGGAGCCCTGTGGGATAGCCCAACACCCCTATTGCCCAGAAACATGCACTCTCATGCTCCCTACGGGAGAACCAGGGCCATGCAGGCTCTTGCCTGGTCCTGCCTGATGGTTATCCTCACTCCTGAGCACCCCCAGAGCCCTCCTGCTGTGAGCCCCTCAGGAAAGTGCACCCAGAGGCTGTTGATTCTTCCTCAGGGAAAGGAGGCCAGAGCCGCAGAGCTGGACAGACACTCAGATCCTGAACGTCAACCCTTTCGGTATCTGAACAAACAGAATCTTTTCTTCTGCTTAGGATCCTGTGATTTGGGGATTCATGCTGAATTGTACAGTGACAGCAGAAATTAAATTTTCTTACTTGAGGAAGGATAGGTGTAAGAATGCTAACAGGAGCGGAGAGTGACAGGTGACCCTTGACTTCTTTCCTGTGATGACCCAGTGGTTGGTTATAGGCTGTGGGCTCAGCCAAGTCTGGATTCCCAAGCAGTTCTGCTGGGACCTCTGTGACACTTGTATGCATTATTTCACCTCCCTTGACCTCAGTTTCTCCATCTCTAGATGGGGATAACAATACTCACCTGAGTGAAAACTGAGACAATATTTGTACTCTGTGGGGCACAGAGTATCTAATACACGGTACTGTATCCCTCTTTTCATTTGAAAAAGCCTATAACCCTTTATGAATGTGAAAGGCCTTGTCAGGCGGAGCCCCCACAGACAGAAAAGAATGAACAGAAGCTGCCAGTTGTGGGGAAGTCAACCCCAAGACCCTTCCTGCCCCTCAGGAGCCTCCATGGGCAGGCCCTGTGCTAAGCCCAGGGACAGGCGGTGAGCAAGGCCCTCGGGAACTCTGGCTCACGAAGAGACACCCGGATTGTACAGGGTAGAAGGGCCGCTGCAACTCCAGATGGCATGTTCAGGGCTGGCATCTAAGCAGCGACCCGAGGGACTAGAGGAGCCAGAGCCGCTGACAGAAGGCCCAGCAGGCTGGGGCAGAGTTTTCAGGGAGGGGGCCTGGAGGGAAGCGAGCATGAAGCCCGTGATGGGAAAGAGGAACTGAGTCCAGCTGGGGGAAGGGAGAGCATGATGGGAAGGGAGGTGGGGTGGGGGGGGGAGGCCAGGTGCAGTGTAGCCTTTTCCCACTGGCTGTGGGGAGCCACTGAAGGAGAGAAGCGGCTGGAGCAAGGGAGAGCCACACTCTTGTTCGGTCTATGAGAGGCTCTGGGTGGCCTAGAGACACACCATGTGTGTTGGGCCATCTCTACATGGTGCTGCCCAGGGCCTGCTCCTGCCGTGGGCATTGGGTGTCGCTTCAACCCATGCAGGGGCCTTACCTGGCCGTCTGGAGGTAGAGCACAGTGTTCTCACCCTCGTAGGTGCAGGAGGCTGTCACTCTGCTGACCAGGGAGGGCAGGCCGCTCAGCTTCGAGTAGCCATGGCCACCGCAGGCTCGACGGCACAACTCAGTCCCCTGGAGGCACAGGTCTGACACCAGGGCCTTGATTCCTGCACTCAGGGCGTGAAGCTGCAAGAACAGGGGCAGGGCGAGTAAGAGGTCCCTCCAGTAACAACCACACTTCTTGCTCATTGAGCACAACCCTGTTGAGGGAAGAATTATTTTCTCAGCTTGAGCCTTTATGAATGAGAAGGCTGAGACTCCGAGATGTGATGTGACTTGCCCAAGGTCATATGATGAGGCAATGTAGCTAGCTGTAAGGGCAGTGAAAACAAAGAACTGTCCAGGCCAGTGTCTCCAGGTGCTTCCTGGGTTGGGCTCACCATCATCTAGGGTTTTGCTGGCAAGTGGAGTTTTTGGAGGGCCGGCCTGTCCATCATCAATCCACTGGCCCGGCTTGTAGGAGAGGCTGCCAGCAGACCCGATTTGAGTTCTTGGTTCTTGAAAGCCCTAATCCATCTTTCAGACTTTTAAAGTCCTTGGGAAGAAGGTCATGTTCTCTAATCTCTCTGTGCTTCACTTTCCTAATCTGTAAAATGGGAAGGGTTAATGAAGCAACGCTTATAAAGCACAGGGTCTGATGGATTAATCTTAGTGTGTACCTAAGTCTATAGTCTTTCATCTGAGACCCTTGGGGTTGGATGTGTCTTGAAATCAATATTTTTTGAATTTTAGAAAGCTAGGGCAGGGCGTTTATGGTAGATTATATATAACACCCAGAAGAGTCTGGGGCAACCTTAGTGATCAAACTCATTAGTATTTCTGCTGCAAAATGGATACACATCCAGCGGGATAAATCAGATCAATTCAGGTCATACTGTGTGACCAATTGTGTTCTCAGCAACTACAATTTTTTAGAGCTTTTTAGGTTTCAAATACACACCTGGGATTGTGCTCCCATGTTCTGTGTATTATGTGTGATTATTCCCTCTAACATTTTGGGGGCTTTCTGGAGGCCAGATGTGGGTGGACGGGGTCAGGTTGCAGTTCCCTGTGGGTGCCCTGGGATATTGGAAGGCTGGGGGGAGGGAGTAAAAGGAGCCCATGGAAACAGGGCTGAGGTTGCTTCCCCATGGGCAGAACAATCTCAGCCCTTGTCCCAGCCTCTGCCTCCCAGCAGACAGCGGTTACCTCAGGCAGGTGGCTGAAGTCTCTGTTCAGAATGGCACTGTAGGAACTGTGGAAGAATTTCAAGAGGTCGCTTGCCAGGAAGTGGAACGCGTAGACTGTGGCCAACTGAGGAAGGAGTTTGTGCTGTTGTGTCTGATAGTCCAGGATTTTTACCTCTGGGCCGCTGAGGGGAAGAAAAGCAGGTTTAGAAGACGGCTACATGCCACCTCCACCTTCCCGTATCCTCAGTGCTGTAAAAGACTTAAAAACTGATGGCTTTTTAGAAAAACAAACAAACAAACAAACAAAAAAAACTGATGGCTTTTTACAACTCGCTGAAAAACCTGACCCGAGCTGACATGAGGTTAGTAATAATCTTACAATTCCATCTAACATGAATACCCACACATTTATCTGTAGAAATATTGACACGTTTGCTTACGGGTGCTGTTCCTTATGGGGGAAGTTTACAAAATTATAGCGTAGGTACCATTATTAACCTGCCCAAACCTGGAAAGTACTGAATTCCAACACATATGGTCCCAAGGATTTCAAGTGAAGGGTTGTGGTTTGTACCCGGGATGATTTGAAATGTGACCTTTACTGTCCAGATGCACATAGTATATGCTGGGAGGTACATCGATCCTAATCTCAGTAACTCTGAGATGTGAATTTGGGGGAAATCGCAAGGCCGGGACTGCATCTGCCTTGTCTGTTGCTGTGTCTGCAGTGCCTAAGACTGTGTCCAGCATGAAGGAGACCAGAATAACTATTTGTGGATTAAAACAAAGCATGAATGGGGCACCTGGATGGCTCATTCGGTTAAATGTCTACCATCAGCTTGAATGGTGATCTCAGTGTCCTGGGATCGAGCTGCATGTCAGGCTCCCTGCTCAGTGACGAGTCTGCTCCTTCCTCTCCCTCTGCCCCTCCCCCTGCTCCTGCTCTCTTGTTCAAATAAATAAATAAAATCTTAAAAAGAAAAAAGCATGAATGTGAGAAGCCTCCTATGGCTGTTGGAAGATTCTTAGGTCAGCAGCCCCTCATTTGGACACTTAAAAAACATTATTTATTTATTTATTTATTAGGGGGAGTGGGGAGGGCAGAGGGGGAGAGAGAGAGAGAGAGAGACTCTCAAGCAGACCCACTGAGTGTGGAGCCAGACGTGGAGTCCCACGACCCTGAGATCATGACCTGAGCCAAGACTAAGAGTTGGATGCTTAACTACCCAGGTGCCTCAGACACGGACCATTAGAACCATCCTGAGGACACTTTAAGTCAGAAAACTAGACTCTGGATGGGACTTCAGTGGCAGCACGTTTTTCCTAGCACTCTTGTCCTCCAGAGAAGACTCCCTCAGTCTGGGAATACAAAGCCCAGCCCAGTCACAGGTGCCCTGGGCTTGCCAGAAGAAAAAGGGCCCTGGGCTACAGGCCTGGTACGCTTTGTTGCATTTCACTCTCCACGCTGTCCTGAAAGAGTGCTCCTCTCACACCTATGTTGTAGGTGAGGACGCTGAGGGACAAGGAGGTGGGCATGACTCACCTAAGGTCCCACAGCTGGCAAGTGGCCCAGCCGTGGATCACCCAGGTCTGTCTGACATCTGACCCTAGTCCATTCTGCATTAGAACGGTTCCTTGATCCTGGATCTTTGAGCCCATGGCATGAAACATCACCAGATTCTTAGACCAGAAGTTCTCTGACTCTTCACATTACAGGTGAGGAAAATGAGGCCCAGAGCGGGCAAAGGACTTGTCCAGGGTCACTTAGCAGAGTTGGGATAAGAACTGCCAGGTTGAGGGCACTTGGGTATCTCAGTGGTTGAGTGTTTGCCTTTGGCTCAGTTAGTGATCATGAGGTCCTGACATCAAGTCCCACATCAGGCTCCCTGTGGGGAGCCTGCTTTTTCCTCTGCCTGTGTCTCGCCTCTCTCTCTGGTCTCTCATGAATAAATAAATAAAATCTTAAAAAAAAAAAAGAATTTCCAGGTTGAAGCCCATCCCTCAACAACACAAGTTCAGTCAGTTATGACTGTACCCTCTCTTTCCGTGCTGCCACTATATCACCATTTGCCTAGCCCCATGCTGCCACATCCAGAGTCCCCATTTGGGACATATTCTAAAAAATTATTTGCTGTTTACCTAAAATTAAAATTTAACTGGCAGCCGTGTGTGTCTTTACACAGGCATGCACATGCATGGGGACACATAACACATATTTAAAAACAGAGTCCAGGAGCACCTGGCTGGTTCAGTTGGAGGAACATGCAGAACTTGGTCTCAGGGTTATGAGTTCAAGTCCTACATTGGGTCTTGAACTTGGGTTAAAGAAATATTTAAACAATTACCACAGAGTGTACAGTCAGCTCTTCAGTCCCACAGGACAGAGGGAGCATTAGCTGGGCACAGTCACATACAACAAAACAGATCCAGACTTGGACATACCACAGGTGGATGGTGACAGCACAGCCAGATAGGACCAGCTTCAGTCATATACCATCTGATGTGACAGCTGGGCTCTCTCAGACACGATTACTCACACTCTGACAGAACAAGCTCAGAAGCTACTAAGTCACCCACAGCCTGTCAACCAGATGACAACCCAGACACAAGCCAGTCACAGCCGTCCAGAGCCTAGTGAGACTTGGACAGACTGAGTCAGATCTGATGCTACAAGGTCAAAGACATATGATCACACAGAAACCCAATAGGGACAGACCCCTACCAACACAGGCTGGGCAGCTGATCAGCTGGGGTTAGAGGGAGCTGGATAGAGACCCTGCAGACAAGGCCAGACAGACGGGGTCTAGGCAGAAATTGTGCACATGTCATGAGGGTAATGTGTTCTGGCAGAGGGGTGGATCGGGGGGCAGGCACCGTGGGATGGAGAGGTAGCCCTGTCTGTGGTCAGCCTGTGGGTGTCCCTTGCCTTGGCCGGAGGCTGGACTGGTGGCGGATGACCGAGTAGCGGATGGCGATGACACAGGCCTTCTGCAGCATGGGTATGATCTCACCCAAGAGCAGGTCCACTCGCATCACCACCATCGATAAGTAGTTGATCTGCAATGATCCGACCTTGAGGTAGGTGCCATCTGGTAAGACCTGGTGGACCAAACACGGGCTGGGTCTGAGCCAAGGCACCCAAGCCTGTCCTACACCCACAGTGTGGACTCCCATACGCTACAGGCACACAGTCCTCAGATCCCTCACCTGGAGCAGAGAGCGGACCGCCAGCCAGAGCGCGCTGCTTATGAAACACACCTGTGCTTTGTGCTAAATAGTCACTGCCTCAAGTGCCTTGCTTCACAGCTCCTCTCCTGGGACACCTAAGACCCCCCCCCCAAATCCACAGGTAAAGGCAATGCCTGGCAAGATGGGGACCTCCAGAACTTCCTCCAGCACTCGACTAATATCTGCTCAGTGATTGGTTGTCTAAACCTCACTGTAGGTAAAAATGCATGTCACTCTCAGCCCTTCCTTCTTTCTCACGTTGCTTTGTCACCTACTCCATGACAGCTCTACTACCCCGTGAAGCTCTGAGCATTTACTCAGGAGAACTCTGAGGCTCAGAGCGGTCAAGTGACTTGCCCAAGATCACACAGCTCCTAAACCGGGGCTTTACTCAGATCTGTGGGATACCAGAGCCTCTCTGCCTCTCTGGTTGGGGTGGGGTGCCCCAAACTCTGCTCTACAAAGGAGGACCCAGAGCCAGCTGTAGTCTGCACAGGGCCACTGTCCCCTCTCCAGGCAGTGGAGGCTTGCAGCCGCCCCAGGACTCCTACCTGTGCAAATCGACTCAGCATGTTCTCTCTAGGGATCCGCACATGGTCCAGTCGCAGGAAGCCATGGTCTGTGTGGTGAAAGCCCATCTTGGGCCCGATGTCTCCAACAGTGACTCCTAGAAGGAGATGTAGATGGAAACATCTGTCCGCCAAGTACTTTCTATACCATTCACACATGTCCCGGCTCCCCTGAGCCTCACAGCATCCAGTCACGTGGGGTTAATCACACCTGTTTTGCAGTTGACTGAGCTGAGGTTGAATGTTGCTCAAGTTCACCCAGCCAGTTAGCACCAGGTCTGTCCAACTGGACTCCTCCCTACCCAAGGGCGACATGTCCCTGCTTCTATCACCTCAGGGGCCTCAGGATAGGGAGGCCCGGTAGTGTCTCTTCCTGGCAGTGGGCCTGGGAGCCACATGGGCTTACCTGGCAGTGGGGTGTGGTCCTGGAGGCTCCGGATGGGCACAATAAAGGCATGCATGCCCTGTTGGGCTCCTGAGCAGATCAGCTGGGCCTGGACCAAGGCATGGGTGGCGGACCGTCCCACTGAAGGCAGAGAGATGAGAGGCTCAGCATGATCTCTGGTGTAGGAGGCCCTAGTGTATGGAGCAGACAGGCTAACTCTCCCCATCAGGAACCTGTAATGGGTTAGGAGGACCAGTGTGGTGGCACGGGGAAGGGCACGGCACCCTGTGAAGCCAGGATGGAGTTTATTTGATTTGCCTTAAATGGTGAGAGCCAGAGGAGCATGCGAGCCTGAAAGGTATGGGCTTATTTTCCTGTGCAAGGGGGAGCTTGCACAGGGCAGGGAGGGCAAGGCAGAGGGAGCACTGTGGGCTTGAGGGCTGGGTTGGCTTGGTGGAGCCAGGCAGAGGAGAAAAGTAGCATCCAGGGCAACAAAGTGATGCTTTTTCAGCATACCCCTTGATTCACACAGCCTTGACTCATCCTTGGAAATGACTGCAACAGCCCTGAGAGCTTTAATATGAGTGTCTGGCTCTAGAATGCCCTGGGGCGGAGGGCTTTATGGACAGCCATTTGGTGGCTGGAGGTGCAGGGGGTTCTGTCTAAATGTCAGATGTGTGGAGCAAATGCCCTAAGATACACAGGCATGAGGTAGAGAGGCTCAAGGAGGCTGCTGGAGATCCATGGTGTGGAAACTGGTCCCTGATGATGGGAAAAGGTGTGCACTGCTGCCTCCCATCCCAGGGGCCTCAAAGAGTCACTGATCCCAGGGAGGGCAAACTGCTCCCAAAGAGCCAAACAAATCTAGCAGTGTTGTGCAAAAGGCACTGTGAAATGAGCAAGTCTTTTCCCCCCCCCCCTGTTCTCAAAAACCTATAAATGAATCACTCTACCATCCACCTTATAATAACAAATACAGATAATTACCATTTATCTAAACCCAGGTGGCGACGGTCCCTGTGCTGATGCTTCCCAGTTCTTGCAGGGCGGGTATGATGAGCCCCATTTTCCAGATCAGGAAACTGAGGTTCAGAGAGGCAAGTGAGGCACTCAAGGTCACCAGCCCAGAGGGGACGGAGCTGGCATTTCAAGCGGCCCGATTGCAAAGGCTGGTTTCTTTTTTCATCTATTCCCTCCCTCTCCTCTCTCATTGCTCTCTTGCCCCTCCATTATTTCTCTGACTCCTCTCTCTTTCTCTTGCTGCTTAGTTGTGCTCCTCGCATTCATTGTACTTTCTCCCCCATGGAAGCATTCACCAAATGGGTCCTGAAGCGCCACAGACGTGCCCTCAGAGGTGTGTTGTCACAACCCCAGGAAGAGGAGCTCGGCAGGTTGCCCTCCCCCCTCCCCCCAAAATCAGGCAACTATCACTGAGCCTGGGGGAAACCTGGTGTGGTCGCCACCTGGTGACTAAGGGGGCATTGTGGCGCCTGTGGCCAGCTTGGGTGGAGCCTTCCTGGGCGTCCGGAGCAAGGGCTGTGTCTGATCTGGGCACTGCGTGACCCATTGGCAAGCTGAATCATTAACTCGGGAGGTGAGAGTGCCTGGGACTGGACTGTGTGTATGTGATGTGTGTGTGCACGCGCATGTCTGTGTGGGGGAAGGTTGGGTCAGCTTCCTCAGCGACTTCAAAGTTGAGTTACAGGTACTCACTCATTTCATCACTCACTGATGAAATTTTTCACATCCCCCCTGTTGACAGAGTGATTCACTAAAGGTCACCAGCCTAGAATGGGGAATCAGTGAGATCCGTTGGACCTCGGAGCCAGTGCTACTCTGCTGTCCAACTTTGTTCTCCTTGGGGACCGGGTGGGGCTAGGAGAACGGATGGATACTCACGGTCCCCAGGCCACCATTTGGTGGCCGTCATCGTGGGGCTGTGCACCACAAACTCCTGGGTGGCTGCATCATAGGTGGCTTCAGTCTCCAGGCCCTGAAGATATGTCCCTGGGAATCAAGGAGAGGAGTTAGTTAGACAGGGGGTCAGGACAGGGATCTCACCCAGCTTCCTCTTACCAACTTTCCTCCGGAGCGCAGTGTTCTGGGCACCTCCATCAAGGATGTTGATGAGCCGTTCCACGTTGAAGGACTGTATGTACCTCTCACTCTCTATGTCAGGGTGCACTTGCGTGCTCCAGGTATCCCCCAGGGACACTCGGTGCACTGGGCTGCCCATCCTAGCCTGGATCTCCTTGGTGCCTGAGGAGAGATACTTCTGGCCTAGCTGCTCTGAGCCTTCGGTGGTGCTAAGAGCCTGTGTGCAGGAGGAAGTGCCCAGGTGGGCCGGGAACTGCCAGGTACCAGCCCAGTCTGGAGTCGGAGCTCGCAGCTATACTCACAGGCATTTCCAGGATTTCACCCGTGGGCTGTGCCCACATGGCCAGCCCGTGACAAGGGATGCCTGCTGTCATTTCCAGAAGGGACAACATGCCCCACACGCTGGCTCATAGCTGGCTCATATGGGAGGTGTTTGTATCAATTAGAAAAAGGAACCCCCTCCTTCGAGACCCTTCACTGCCACCTGCTGGAACATTTGCATTGAAATACACAGTCTCTGCCGCTCAGGAACTGTGCACCACCTGAACGCTGCAGGCAGAAGCCCTGGCTCACCGTGGCCCAGTTCTGTCTGGGCATATGTTGCGATGATCTGGAAATCGTTGCAGAGTGGGGCCCATTTGGCAATCTGCTCCTCTGAGCCCAGGCTCTTGATGGATTTCAGGAACACCCTGTGTATACCGAAGGCCAGGTCTCCAGCAAGGGTTCTGTGGGGGAGAGACCCGGTGGTTGAGTAGCCCACCCGAGACAGGGACCCCGATACCGCCAGCCTGGCAGGGTGCAGGAGGGAAGGGGCATCCGCCATACCGGCTTCCCAACGACCACTGCCCTTAAAACTGGGGAAAATCCCTCTCATGGGGTTCGGGCTTTCCAGGTGATCCCAGGTGAACTCCCCTCTGGTGGGGCTGCCCTGGAAGTGAGTACCTGTAACTGTAATATAATTCAGGACTGTCTTCCGACCAGCCCTGGCGCTTTGCTATTGTCTGCAGGTGGAATTTCCTCTTAACGGCGGCTTCATAACGTTCATTCTGGGTCATGAAATAATTATCCTTCAGGCTAAACTCTGGGTCACTGTGGATGATACTTTCTTCAGAGACAGAGAACAGAGGACTTAGAGACCTGAGTGAGGTTCCTGGCACCTTCAGATCTTCCCGCCCTCTTGCCTTGTGGATGTGGAAAGGGAGTCAGACATTATTGTCACTTTACAGATGTAATGACTGAGCACCCGAGATGGGAAGGTGACTTGTCCAAGGTTACAGAGCTATGCAGTGGGAGAATAAGGGCCAGAGTCCAGGTCTTCTGCTGCCTAGGACTCTTCTATCCTTCAGATGGGCCCAGGGAATATGGACTGGTTAAAGATGTCTTACAGTCCAAAGGAATGAATTTCTAACAGTGGAATTTTGAAAGCAAAATTTGTTATTTGAAGGACTCTTCTTCCAAGAGAGGCATATGGGCACAAAGCAGATGATTCACTCCCCAGCTTCCTCTTACCAACTTTCCTCCGGAGCGCAGTGTTCTGGGCACCTCCATCAAGGATGTTGATGAGCCGTTCCACGTTGAAGGACTGTATGCGCCTCTCACTCTCTATGTCAGGGTGCACTTGCGTGCTCCAGGTATCCCCCAGGGACACTCGGTGCACTGGGCTGCCCATCCTAGCCTGGATCTCCTTGATGCCTGAGGAGAGATACTTCTGGCCTAGCCGCTCTGAGCCTTTGGTGGTGCTAAGAGCCTGTGTGCAGGAGGAAGTGCCCAGAGCTGAGCATCAGCCAGAGGCTGCTTGGTGTAGGAAAGCAACTCCCCTTGGATATTTGAGGGCCACTGCACCCCTAACCCCCTTCTCTGTGGGCACTTGGCTGGCAATGCGTGCAGTAATTGCTCGGTAAATGGTAGTACAGTACCTGTTTGTTGAGCTTTGGACGGGATCCAATCACCGGACTCGTGCTCCGTCCGCTGTAGCGAGTATTATAAGGGTTGCCTGGGGGAGTTCCCACAGAAAGTCAGTTAAAAGTCACACATGAAAAAATATTTGGTGGGGTTGAGCACATGTGGCCTGTAGCCACACAGCTGGCGGTGGCCAGGAGTTGGACGGGATCTGACCACAAAGCACATGCTCTGTCCCCACTACAGCCCTGCCAGGGGGCCTCAACGAAGGGACCTGTTGTCCCATTCACCTGATCCCCTAAGTCCTGGGCTCGTTCCACCCATTTCTGTGAGCCTTGGGGGGTATGTCGGAGCTGGAGGGGAGGGGTGTGTTTACCCTGGGACCCCTGTGTGTCCCCCGTAGCCAGGGAGGGCCCCTGTCCTTCAGCGAACCCTCAGGTTCTCAGAAGCCCCTGCTCCCCCACAGCAAAGCAACCACCAGGTATGGTCCATTCTACTTCTTGAGTATCTCAAATCCATTTGTTCCATCCCCGTATCTGTCCCCTGGCCACCGCCATTTCTCACCTGGCCTCAGACTCGCTTGTCTGTTCTCCAGGCTGCCAGGTGAGCTCTTAAACTGCAGTCACATTGTTTCCCTCCTCTGCTTGGAATTTGCTCCTTGCCCACTATTTATGGGAGAGACTCCGCGCTCCCAGCCCATCAACCACTCGGGCCCCACCCACCTGCCCTTTGCCCTGGATCAGCCTGTCAACAACCCCCCTCTCACCTTGCCCCCAGGGTGCCACCCTCCCCTCCCTCTCCTCCTACCCTTCACCTCTGCTGCTGCCCCCCTAACCCCACCCCTGTGTTCCTACTGAGACCCAGCCTTTCGGGGACCCCTCCTCTAAGAAGCCTTCCTGACACCAACAGCCCGCTGGAAACACGGAGTGCCCCAGCTGTCAGGAGGCAGCCACCACAACCCTACAAGTGCACTCCTGTTACTGTTACCCCTTTAAGAGAGGTCAGGAGGGAAGGAAGGAGACTGTAAGGTCATGTAGCCACAAGCGGCAAGTGAGATGTGCATGCAGGCTTCCAAACCCATACCTCCTGAGGGGGTGGCAGGGCCATGGGGGTGCTGACAAGGGGCCTGGCATGTTCAAGGAGCCCCTCTCATCTGCCCCCTGAACCCCTACAAGGCTGCCTAGCTGGCTTCCTGTCTTCCTGTTCTACACCCTGACTGCTGCTGCCCCCTTGCTGTGCCTGGACACCCCAGGCCTCCCCCAACCCCCACATTTGCCAGGTTGTAGTCCCTGCCTCAAACATTCTTCTTCTGAAATACTCTTTCCCCGGGTGTCCTCTCGGCTCCCTCATTACCTCCTTCAAGTCTTTGCTTAATATCACCTTCTCAGTGAGGCCCACCCCACTGCCCTCTTTAAAATCTCACCTGGGGCAGCCTGGGTGGCTCAGCGGTTTGGCGCCTGCCTTCGGCCCAGGCTGTAATCCTGGAAACCCAGGATCGAGTCCCACATCGGGCTCCCTGCATGGAGCCTGCTTCTCCCTCTGCCTGTGTCTGTGTGTCTCTCTCAAGAATAAATAAAGAAAATCTTTTTTAAAAAAATAAATAAAATCTCACTTGGGATTGAGCACTTGGGTGGCTCAGTGGTTGAGCGTCTGTTCAGGTCTTGATTCCAGGGTCCTGGGATCGAGTCCTGCATCGGGCTCCCTGCAGGGAACCTGCTTCTCCCTCTGCCTAGGTCTCTACCTCTCTGTGTGTCTCTCATGAATAAATAAATGAAATCTTAAAAAAACAAAACAAAACAAAAAAACTCAAGCCCCTTCCCCCAGCATTCCCAATTCCCCTCACTCTGCTTTCTCTCCAATGTACAAAATAATTTACTCACTTATGTTCTTGTTTTTTTTGTTTTTGTTTTTGTTTTTTTTTTTTATGTTCTTGTTTATTGCTGTATCCCCTACTACTGCGTAAACTCCAAGAGGGCAGGGGCCTATGTCAAGTTACGCTAACACTTAGCACAGGGCCTGGCCCCACTGGCAGGGCCTAATAGATAGGGGTTGAAATGAAATGAAAGCAAGCAGTGCTCAGGGTCATTAGGAGCTCAAGGAGGGTCATTACTCAGGAGGTCCAGTCCTCAGGGACCCCCACCCCTGTCCCTGGGCCCTGCTCACCTGCTCACCTGTGTCCTGTGTCTGGCCTGCAGGCCTGGCCTCTCTAGCTGCAGGCCTGGGTTTCTTATGGGTAGCCCAGCCCACTTTCTCCTCCCCTAGAATGGGGCGCAACCTGGAAAACTGAAAGCTGTGCTTGGCAGGCTCTCAGCTCTCCGGTGCCCCTGGCTGAGCTCAGGGCTTTTCTGTCCCGCCCCCATGCCTCCCTCAAATGGCTGTCAGTGGCCTTTGCCAGGGCCCGGGCTGCCCGGAAGGGTGGTGGGGGAGGGGGGGCTGCTCTGGTGTCAGCTGCTGAGCCTTATCCTGCCCTTCCTCTCTCTGCCTATCTGGGCCTGCGTTCCAGAGCTTGTTCCCGGAACATGCGTACCCTGCATACCCTGCATCCCGGTTCGCTCTGCGCAAGGGAACGCCACAGCACCCCCCAGCGTCTGTGTCCGGAGACTTGGCCTCAAATCCTCAGATGTGACTGAATTACTTCACCTCTGAGCTTCCCTTCCCTGGTCTCTTACCACTCACAGGCTATAAAGAAGAGCTCTTGGTGGACTCTGAAGCACTGAGTATTTGTAATTTGGGATTATTACTGTTTTCATGGTTCCACATGACAGAGCTTCTTAATTCCCAGGAGTGATGTTTAATGGTGGAATTTCCATTCTCTGGCAGCCTGTAGGTGAGGTATTTATGGGCAGGTGTGTGAGGGTTTAGGTTTTACAGGAAGCATTGATTTGCTTTATTATCAATACATAGTTTGAAGTACCCACCATGATCTAAGCAGTGTGGTACAGGAGGAAGCAAAAACAAAAGAAACACCTGTACCAGTCCTCTGACCTCGGGAAGCATCCAGGCTGGGGTTGGGGGGCTGCTGGGGAGACAATAATCACAGGAGGAAGGAGAAGGAAAACCTAGAAGGGATATGCAGCATCACATCTGATGAGTTTATAACTTTGTTGAACTTAAAACTTTCTTGCCCTCTCTTCCTGCTCCTGCTGTTCCAGGCCTCTCTGGCTCTACTGGTCCAGCTCCTTTTTCTTTTTCTTTCTTTCTTTCATTTGTTTATTATTTATTTATTTATTTACTTACTTATTTATTTATTTATTTTTCCAGCTCCTTTTTCATCTTTTCATCTCACCACACTGTTTTGGGAAGTCATTGCAGTCTGGAGTAGAAGTCCCAGGACCTGCTTCCTTAGGTCCAAGTTTTTGCCCCTTGTGGTATAATAAAAAAATGTATATGTTTGGTCTCTGTCCTCAGTCCCTGGCACAGAACCCCTAAAAACCCTTGCCATCTCCTGAGTGATAAGACTCTATCCTTTTTATTTATGGCCAGAGGCCCCTAGATAGCTTTAGGATGGGGCCTGGTTGCTGGAAAGACCAAGCCTTTACTAGAGCAGTTGCATTCTTAGTTGTCCCCGGCACACCCTCCAGCTCCTCACCAGTGGCCAATGATTTAACCTCTTATACCTATGTAGTAAAACCTTGTTAAAAATCCTTAAATAACGTGCTTTGGGGAGAGTTGGTGAACTTGAAGTTACAGGGAAGGAGGCATGGGAAGCTCCCTGCTGCATCCACCCCTTCCCCCCCAAGATCTTGTCCTCTGCATTCCTTCTAATTGGCTGTTCCCAAGTTGTATCATTTATAATCAACCAAAGTTGTAAGTAAAGTGTTTTCCTGAGTTCTGTGAGTCATTCTAACAAATTATTGAACCTGGGGTGGGGAGTTATGGACACCCTTGAATTTATGGCCAGTAGGTTGGAAGTACAGGTGGCCCCTGGGATCTGCAGTTGTTGTTTGAAGTGGGGGCAGCCTTGTGGGACTGATCCTTAAACCTGTGAGATCTCCACTAGTCCCAAGATTTGGTGTCAGAATTGAACTGAGTTGGGGCCCCTGGGTGGCTCAGTCTGCCTTCAGCTCAGGTCATGATCTTGGAGTCCTGGAATCTTGCCTAGCATCTGGCTTCCAGCGCAGTGGGGAGTCTGCTTCTCCTTCTCCCTCTGCCCCTCCCTACTGCTCTTGTTCTCTCTCTCAAGTAAATAAATAAGATCTTAAAAAAAAAAAAAAAGAATTGAACTGAACTGTTGAACACCCAGTTGGTTGGGTGAGAATTGCTAGTTGGTGTGGAAAAAACGCACATTGGTGTTAGAAAAAGATACCACACTCTTTTTTTTTTTTTTTAAGCTTCTATTTATTCATTCATGAGAGACACAGAAAGAGAGGCAGAGACTCAAGCGGAGAGAGGAGAAGCAGGCTCCATGCAGGGAGCCCAACGTGGGACTGGATCCTGGGACACCAGGATCATGCCCTGAGCCAAAGGCAAACGGTCAACTGCTGAGTCATCCAGGTGTCCCAAGACACCACATTCTTGGTACACCCACTACAGTGATGCATATTTTTTTCTTTCCCTATTGCTTTTGTGAAAATCACCAATGAAAGCAAGGACTGTGTGGCTCTTGGTCACCAATACAGTCCTGCTCCCAAACCAGGGTCTGTTTCAGGGTAGGTGTTCAACAACTATTTGGTGGATGAATGGATAAACAAAGGTTAGCAGTGAAGGACTTTAAAGTTTCAGCATTGTTTTAAAAGGTAGGAGTGGGTATGTATTTGTGTCCACTCTATTTGTACACACTTGTATACCTCGACATGAGACTCAGGCCTCCAATCTCAAAGCTGGGGATTCCTTTGGGACTACTTGTACCAAAAAGCTGTGTACCCAGCTGGATTTCCAAAGTGACCTTGGTCTATCTGCAGTCTTTCTTGGATGAAGAGGATTCCTCATCCTGTGCCCTTGAGGAACTCAAATTGTTAATATCCAAGGAGCTTAAAAGTCTTCCCATAGGTGGTTTTTCTATGAAAGGGTGAATGACTTTTCTCTTATGTTCCTGTGCCAAAATTTGGCTTGTCTTGGGATGCCTGGGTGGCTCAGCAGTTGAGTGTCTGCCTTTGGCCCAGGGCGTGATCCTGGAGTCCCAGGATCAAGTCCCACGTCAGGCTCCCTGCATGGAGCCTGCTTCTCCCTCTGCCTGTGTCTCTGCTTCTCTCTCTCTCTCTCTCTCTCTGTATCTCTCATGAATAAATAAAATCTTAAAAAACATTTTGGCTTGTCTTATGCTTAGCATTAGTATTCATATGCCTCTAACCTTAATTCCCTGAATAAATATTTTGGACTACCTATAGTACACTGAGCACTGCTTGGGGTGGGACCCAGAGTGGAACCAGGTCTCTGTGAGTGGGATGGGATGTTTATAGGTTACCGCAACCTCCACTGCATAACAACCGTGGAAAGTAGGATACCTCTCTTCATTTTGCAGAAGAGGAAACAAGCCCAGAGAGATGTTGTCATTTGACGAGGTTTGCACAATAAGTATGATACAGAGGTGGAATTTGAGCCTGGTTTTCTAACTCTTTACCTATTTGTACAAGATTGGGAAAGAAGTCAAGAGAGCCAGAGTACCTGTTTTGGCGTACTTCTGAGATGTGGTGATTCTGGGCAGGTGCTCTCTTCTCCTAGATCTTGGCCTTCCCATCTGTGATGATGGTTATCTGCTCAGTAAGGGGCCTCTCACCTTCCCACTGTGTCCCTGAGGTAGTGTCAAGCTTGTGTCTTGAGGAGGAGGCAGGATGCATGCTTTGGAATGTTACCCAGAAGATCTTGCTGGGACTGGAGGGCTGGCCCTGGATCCCCTATTGCTTTTAACAATGGCCTGACACAAGGTGATGGCTGCAGGGAGATGGCCTTGATCCTACTTTCAGACAGGCAAGTTCTGTGTCCCAAACTGGTCTTTGCCAAGGACTTGTGCTGTGTCTTATGATGTGTCTTATGATATTTAATACTTAAATACCTCTTGGCCATAGTTTTCTTTCTTCTTCTTTTTTTTTTTTTCATTAAACTTTTGTTTTAATGGGTGTCAAAATTCTGTGACATATTTTTGGTCAAGTAGTTTCCATTAAAAAGTACTGATTTTAAAAACTAATAATTTAAAACTGCCACACACACACACACACACACACACACACACAAACCCCCACAAATAGTCCACAAAACATTCTTCTTTCCTTCTGAAGGTTTTATGATGCATTGTTATCATTAACCAGTCTTTTACTACTAAACTTAAATGGTCAATTGACGCAAACAGTTCTGAGACCATTCTTCCATCCCTGATTAAGACTGGGGTGCCAGGTATTGGGGATAATACTCATTTAGCCTTCTGAGCTTTCTGGGCAGACTTGGTGACTTTGCCATCTCCAGCTTTGGTCATAGTTTTCACATCTTGATTGTTTTTAGACTAAACTTTGACATTCTTTTAATAGTTGATAAATTCCATGTTTATTTATTTTTTTAAGTTTTTTTAGAGGTTTTTAAAATTTATTCATGAGAGACACACACAGAGAGAGGTAGAGACATAGGCTTCCTGTGGGGAACCTGATGCAGGACTTGATCCCAGGACCTCAGGATCACAACCCGAGCCAAAGACAGGTGCACAAACACTGAGCCACCCAGGTTCCCCAAATTCCATGTTTAAATAATTTCTTCATCAACTTTGGAGTTGACCCTCTCTATATGTTTTGGATGTGATTATTTTAAATTGTCACT